GAAGGAAGGAAGGAAGGAAGGAAGGAAGGAAGGAAGGAAGGAAGGGGAAGGGAGGGAGGGAGGGATATAGCTACCTGTCCCTTGGAAAGCTGATGGAACTGACCTGTAAACCCTATTTATTCCTGAAGGTTTGGGAAAAAGGGTCTTTTAACACTTCAGCTGTTTAAAAATAACTATTGTTCTATTTATATTTTCCATTTCTCCTTATATAAATTTAGTGTTTTAAATTTAGTAGCATATAGTTATAAAATTCTAAGTTTTGCAATTACTTTTTAATTACTGAAAATTAGTTATTTCTTCTAGATCAGATTACAGTGACCTTTTTTCTTAGTTTACCATGAGTCTATTCATCTCATCTTTCCAAAGAATCAGGTTTTTGTTAATGTTTTATAAGCAGGACTCACAGAACTTCACACCAGTAAGACTAAACAATGTTATCAAAAAGGATACCACACACAACAGCTGTAAGATAAAACATGTCACAAAATTTATTTAATCAAAAATATATACTATTAAAAAAATTCAGCCAGGCACTGGTGGCTCACACCTGTAACCCTAGCTTCTCAAGAGGCTGGGATCTGAGGATTGTGGTTTGAAGCAAGCCCAGGCAGAAAAGTCCCTGTGAGACACTTACCTCCAATTAACCACTCAAAAACTGGAAGTGTCGCTGTGGCTCAAGCGGTAGAAAGCTAGTCTGAGCACAAAGAGGCTCAGGGACAGTGCCCAGGCCCTGAGTTCAAGCACCACAACCAACATTTTTTTTTAATTTAAAGAAATAAACATTTTAAACTCTAATAAAAGACAAAGAAGATTATTATCTCAGTAACAGATATATTTCATGTTCCTGGGTGGCATAATGTAATATGACAATGCTTCCCTAATGAACATATACATCCAATTAAGATCTAATAAAAACCATATTCATACTTTTTGAAGAATCTAAGAAATACGTTGTAAAATTTACATGAAAAAATAAAGTTCCATGAGTAGTAAGAGTAATTGTGAGAAAGAGTTACAAGGGGGGTGGGATGGGAAGGGATGGGAAGGGGAAACAAAGGAAGAGGCTACAATGCTTGATAAGAAATGTACTCCTTATCTTGCCCATGTAATTGTAACCTCTCTGTACAGTATTTTCACAATAATAAAAAAAAGAGTTACAAGTAAGCAGAAGGACCTGCCTATAACAGATATTATGATATATAACAAAACCAGAGGACCTGCTGAGAACAGATAAAAAGACCAACAAATCAGCAGATCTCAGAGACAGATTCCTGTACCTTGAGACTACAATACACAAAACCTGGCACTGCAAACAGATGAGGAAATGAAGGAGTTTGTAGTTGCTGGTGCAGGAAAAACTGACTTATGATAAGGGAAAGGAAACCTACCTAAAATCCTATCTCACACCACAAACAAGGCAGATACCTGGGGAGGCCTCAGCAGACCAGGAGGGCAAATTATAATATAAATGCCAGAAGCTTGTTTTCATTGGGACAAATAGAGTCCATTCATCCCATATGTCTGTTCGGCTTTTGTATTACAATAGCAGCATTAAGTTACTGTGACATAGACCACTGGCCTGCAAAATCTAAAATGTCTTCCATCTGGCTCTTTGACAAAGCATATGCTTACTCCTTCCTGCTTTAGATGCACCAAAGACCTTAATATAAAAGTTAGGAAAAAAAGTCAGAACAATAAAACTAACAGAATATATGTACCAGCATATACTTTGATGTAGGAAAGCCAGAACTTGAATACATTTTATCAAAAGGTAAAAGGAAATCTGTAAGCTAATTGCATGAAAATTAAGCATTTCTACTTTATAAATGATACCGTGAGGGTAACTGATAAAAGACAAAGCAAAGGTATTTGCAAAGCCCACAACCAACAAAAGCCCATTATCTCTAACATATGAGAAACCCATGAAATTATATAGAAGAGTATCCAAAGGAAAGCACAGATTTTGAAGCATACAAGAGATGCCGAACCTCATAGAGAAATTAAAACCAACAAAGAGATGTCACTTCATACCATTAGACTAAAATTAAACAGCTAAAACTAAGATGAAAGAAACCCATTTTACACCAATTCTGGCATTTACTATTAATATAAACCAAAAAGAAAAAGAAATTACCTTTTAGAAATAAAATCTAAGAAATAACAGTGGGCCCCCCAATTAACCACCAGAAGACCAGAAGTAGCACTGTGGCTCAACGTGGTAGAGAGCTGGCCTTGAGCAGAAAAAGTTCAGGGACAGCACCCAGGCCCTGAATTCAAACCCCGTGACCAACAAAAAAAAAAGAGAGAGAGAGAAAAAGTGAGAGAGAAAGAAAGAAAGGAAGAAATCAATTGCATTTTGTAGCCATAAGCAGATGACATTACGAACTAAAGGACTAAAATGGGGCCCATTTTAAAATGGAAACCATTATTATCATATTTTCTGCCTATCTTTTAATTCTTTTACTAGAAGTACCTTTGAAACAGACTGTTAAGATATGTTACTACCAGGGCTGGGAAGGTGGTTCAGTGGTAGAGTGCTTGCCTTGCATGCATGAGGCCCTGGGTTCAATTCCTCAGCACCACATAAGCAGAAAAAGCTGGAAGTGGTGCTGTGGCTCAAGTGGTAGAGCGCTAGCCTTGAGCTGAAGAGCTGAGGGACAGCTCCCAGGCCCAGAGTTCAAGTCCATGACCGACCGGAAAAAAAAAAAAAAGAAATGTTACCACCAACATGCTTATGCCCCTTGCCAATTTTTACAAATATTTCTATTTCCTCAGAAACCTTGCATTACGAGTCTTCACATGCTGAAGTAAAACTATCTGTTCAATGAGTAAAGAAACTCACCTTCACTTTTGAGGGGTAATGAATAGATCACTAGAAAATATTTTTATGAAAGATTACACAAATGTTGAATTAACAACAAGAATGGTTACCGAAATGGTCAGTGCACATAAAATTATGTCCTTACAGAACAAGATCCACTTACTAGTAATCATTGCTCCAGTTACAGAAGCCAGAAATCCGATGCTGACTGCAACGACAGAGATCACTCTCCCCTGCCTATGCCTCTGCAGCATCACAAACATCAGGACGCCCGCAGCACCGTGGACAAACAGAGAGGAGAAGAGAGCCCAGAGGAAAATCCAGTACCACATCTCTGAAAGGAAAGGCAAAGTGTCATCAGTCTTCTGAAACCCACCTTATAAAATTCAGTCAACAATTGCTCAGTAAGATAATGTGCCTGACATATAGTAGTGCTAAATAAGTCGCTCATCACCCATGGTTGATGGGGAAAGAATTCCCTCCACAACAACCCCATTATCTAGTTGCAAACCCTCTTAGATTAAATTCAGTTGCTTTTGCCTCATATTTTTCTATTTTTACACTAAATAGCATTGCTATGTTTTTTTTAACTATGTCTTAATCCCAATCATTCCAAACATCATTCTATAATTTTACCTTTTATAACTTAACCCTCAACTTTATATACTAAATATTAAACCAGAGATTTTTTTAACTTCTTTGTCTCTAGTCTTCCTAATACTTCTAGCTAGAACTTTCTGAACTCTGTTATTCTATTATTTTTTCTTTAACATGTCCTCAATCAGCTGTTTATTGACCTCTCAATTAATAAACAGTAAATGAGTACACCTTCATTTTGTCTTTCCAGCATTCAAGCCCTTTCAGTACACCTCTCAATTAATCCACAGATTTCCCACAGATATCGATGCCATGTTATTGCATAGACTCCATTGCTGGCCATAGCTACTAGGTACAATATGCCAGCAGTTGCTCACAGTGTGCCAATCATTTCTTTCCACTGAATTCTGTATTGGGAGCAACTAAGTCTCCTTTGTCTTTGGGATCTGAAGCTGAATCCTTTTCCTTATCACACTATGAAAGCCACAATAGAGGAAAATAGAAAACCCAATGACAAAAGACAACTAAGTCACTTATTCAAGTGATTTCAAGCCCTGTTACATTGCTATATAAGAAACACCCCAGTTTGTCTGCAATAAGATTCATTTTTAAACTAATCAGGTAAAGCTTGTTTGTTACTTATAATTGAGAGAGCTGAGCCCAAAATATCTAGCAGTGATCTTAAGGATCATCCTTGATATGTATATATTCTATATATAAGACAAAGAATCTCACCTGCTATTTGAATTAAGTATTTACTCACCATCATGTGAAAAAAAATCAATAAATAGTCATTAAAGAGCACAAAAACAAATTTAAAACCTATTATCCAAACACGTTGGTAGAAAATTAAAATAGTGCGACATTATAAAAACTTAAAAACAAAATAACCAAATAATCCATCTGGATGTATGTATACCAAAAGGATTAAGAGTAGAGTTACCACCAGGAGATACTGGTGTAACATGATCATAATGATGAGTCGAAGCTAGCCATGAGTGATGGGGAAATGCAAAGGGTATTAAAATAAAGGGCAAGATTACTGGGTCTCTGAGAAAATATTGCAATTAAAGGTAACCTCAGCCCTGTATACTATACATACCTGAGGATAGGAATTTCTCACTGGAATCTCATTAAGTACTCAAACCCCAAAGGCTAAAGCTGCAACTCTCACCCTAGGGACAAACCACTTTCAATCTTTAAGAGGCATTTAACACCGTTTTGCTGCCACAAATTAAAAGTGGGAGAAAAGAAAAGCCTGGCATCTCTGTGTCTGTTTTGTGTTGTTGGTATTTTAGGCCATTTTGTCCCTAATCACTTTGTAATCACCTTGAAGCCAGGAAAGACAGATGATTCTGAACATCTCTGACAAAGAACCAAAAGTACCCCAAATTTAGTAGAAAGGCAGGCAGGTAGGGAACTGTGGCCTACACAACTTGCAGAAGACAGGATAAGCTGGCAAAAACCACAACTTGTTGCCTAACAACAGAATGGGGACAGGGGATACAAGAATGAGGAAGTAAGAAAGACAGAAGAATGAGGAAATGGGATGCTGCACTGAATCTGGCACCACGACCTTATGCCAATCAGAAGGCCAAGGACTCCGTTTCTCCCTGCTTAACTTAGGCCAAGCTGGATGAGGACAAGGACACAAAGCAGCTGAGATGTCTTCCCATGGCATGTCTATGCCATATGCTCTCTTTCTCTGCCATATTTCTTTTCTAATAAACTTTCCTATCACTTTTACTATGTTCATATCTTGCCTGAATTCTTCTTCTGCAAATGCAAGGACCACAGTCAACTTAACTGCCCTAAATTTCTGCTAACATTTGGTGTACTGCTCCAGAAGTTAGGGATTAAATCATTTTTTTGTTGTTGTGTATGTGTGTGTGTGTTTTCTTTTTTTTGTCGGTCGTGAACTCTGGGCCTGAGTGCTTTCCCTCAGCATTTCAGATCAAGGCAAGTGCTCTACCACTTGAGCTACAGCACTACTCCCAGTTATGGAGATAAGAGTCTCAAGGACTTTCCTGCCTGGGATGGCTGTGAATTGCAATCCTCAGATCTCAGACTCCTGAGTAGCTTGGATTACAAGCATGAGGCACCAGCACTTGGCTTAAATAGATCTTTTTCTGACTTGGACTCACTGAAAGGTAACATAAGGAACAGTAGAGCCTCATAGATAGATCATCTCTAAATGAAGACAGTTACCTAGAATGCTCACACTGCACCCTGGAGCAGGAAGAATCACCTCATATGAACCAGACTGTTACCTTCATTGATAGCAGTGGTAACTTCTCTGGAACCCAGGAAAACCAGCACCGAAATAATGTCCAGCCAGACTGTAACCAGCTGTAACCAGGACTCAAACTATACAAGCCTTTGCCTCTGCCCCTCATTTTTCCTGTATTTAAACCTAATGGTCATAACTAGACTTTGAAGATGACTGAAGCCAATCTGAAATATCATCTTCCTATATCAACATGCCCTGTGAAAATCTTTCTTTGTCATATTTCTTTTCTAATAAGATCAATATATTCTTCTAGAAGTCAACAATTTTCCTTGGATCCCAAGCCCATTTAGAAAAGCTTAACAAATCTAATCCCTGTATCCCCACCCCCAAAAGGCCTTTTCTTTGTTATCCTTCTAATATAATCCAAAAGAATAATTTCTGGACGATATCTAAGCTTATGAATGAGGGAACAGAAAATAAGAAATAGTATCGTTTGTCTACTAAATACATAATTTACCTCAACAAAAAATATAACTGACAATAATGAATATGAATTCTAAGTTTAATACTTTATGAAGACTCACTAGGATCTTTATAAAAAATATTTTAACTTACAATAGGTATCAATAGGACCATACACCTAAAATCAAACCTCAGAGTATTGTCTGATGACCTGCCCAGTTGCTCATCAAGCAAACTGCTCTTAAACAAACTGACCCAAAATCAAGTTGAATTTCATGTTTCTCTTATTTAAAAAAATATACTACTTATCATGAACAAAAACTGAAGTCGGTTGAGAGTTTTAAAGTTAGGTTGTGAGTTACTTCTATTATTCTGAATTATAGGATAGATGAGTACAATTGAGTGGTAATCTCCTTCAGATGCCTCAGCCACTGCCAGTAAGAAAGAATGCCTTGAGGACGCATGTACCAGGGTATTTACATGGATCCTATGATTGGCTTAGATGAAAAGAAGTTCAGGATCACAAAGGTAGAGCAAGAACAGGTGACCACGGCCTCACGGGAAAAGAAAGCTACTAAGAGGACAGAAGGGATATCAGAGCCTTTTCTTCATCTGTTGGACCTACTCAATAATTCATCTCTGAGATATATTTGTCCCGATTTTCACTCTAAAAGTTAAAAGGTTATATTAGTTAACAGAAAATTGTTAAAATACATGAAAAAGTTTTTTAAAACATTATTTCCAAATTGACTGTACCACAAAAATCTGGACAAATACATCTAACATATCACTCTTTTCACAGTCTTGCTCTTTGCTTTACTATGTGTTCCAGTAGGACTTGATGTTTTAAGTGGGCATACCAAGGGCATAGAACAGGTTGAGAGTACCCTGAATGTACTGGAAACCAGAGAGATATTGACTGCCATTATGTTATGCATGAGCTTAGTCAATGATACAAGTAGACAAAACTATGCATTACAAAACCCCAGCAAACTCTCTGTACAGCATCTTTACAATAAAATAATTTAAAAAAAAAACAGCAAAGACTAATCAGAATTATCCACAACAATTTCAAAGCCCATATTTTTCTAAGCATAGCCAGATTGGTACTTGATTTTGTGGACAAAACAGGACTCACTAATTTACAAGTAATGACTTGGAACACCAAACTATATTGAATGCAGCTCCAAGTAATGCCTGCTCACTTGAGAGACAAGAAATTGGAGTCAGTCGTGGCTCACGCCTGTAATCCTAGCTATTGAGGAGGCTGAGATCTGAGGACTGTGGTTCAGAACCAGCCGGGGCAGGAAAGTCTGTGAAACTCTTATCTCCAATGAACCACCAGAAAACTGGAAGTGGCACTGTGGCTCAAGTGGTAGAGAACTAGCCTTGAGCTGAAGCGCTGAGGGACAGTGCCCAGGCCCAGAGTTCAAGCCCCAAGACCAATGGAAAAAATAAATAAATAAATAAAAGAAGAAGAAATAAATAAAAGCAAAGAACAACAAAAGATGGTTTATTAGGCCAATGGCTATAACTGAGATTACCTAAAAATCAATTGAAACAATCTCTCAAGTTTTTAAAACCTAAACCACTATTTTTTTATTGGAGAATTAGGAGAATTTGACTCAAGTTATAGCACACCTAGTACAAGTTTCCTGAATATAGACAACAATAAAAGAAGGCCAGAAGATGGCATTGCTACCAGTCACAAAATATAAAGCAATTTAAAAAATAGCACAAAAACAGACACTCTGAAGCACAATCACCATAAGACACTAAAATGGAAGATGCCTTCTTCCTGGGCATAAAGTCCTCTGGATCATTTTACCCATGCAAAGTTGTTTATAGTCTTCATCTTTAACTAATTTTGCCAGGATTAGTACAGTATACTTTTTTTACCTTTTGGTAAGATATAAATCAGCAGAGTTATAATTTATTCTAGTCTACAAACAATCGTAGAAATAGTACTGCTGTCAATCTGCAATTCTCATCAGCAATAGTTATGACACCACTCACAAACTATCTTTTGTGTTTTTGTTCTTAAT